AGTTACTAATGTTGAAAAATGGAATGTTTGTTGGTAAGGGGTATTCTTGTGATGGGATGTTCAAACTAAGTATTAATAATAAATTGAATTCTTCTGCTTATATTGTTGAATCTTCCTCTCATTTATGGCATTTACTTTTAGCACATGTAAATTTTAGATCTTTAAAATACATGCGCACACTTGGTTTAATTGCTTGCAATGATGATTACAATGATAAATGTGAAACATGTATTCAAGCGAAAATGACTAAGAAACATTTTCCAACTGCCGAAAGAAATACAAATTTATTAGACTTAATACATTCTGACATATGTGAATTTAATGGTGTTTTAACAAGAGGAGGAAAAAGATATTTTATCACATTTATAAATGATTGTTCTAAGTTCACTTATGTTTATTTATTATCTAATAAAGATGAAGCTTTTGAGTGTTTTAAGCGCTATAAGGCTAAAGTTGAAAACCAAAAGGGAAGGAAAATTAAATGCCTTCGTAGTGATAGAGGTGGTGAATATTTTTCACATGAATTTGATATTTTTTGTGAAGAGTATGGTGTTGTACATCAAAGAACTGCACCATATACACCACAACAAAATGGTTTGGCAAAAAGAAAAAATAGGACACTCATTGAAATGATTAATTCTATGATGATTAATGCTAATACTCCTAAATATTTATGAGGTGAAGCATTGTTTACTGGATGCCATATACACAATTACATCTACAAAGACACATGTGTCACCATATGAAATTTGGAAAGGAAGAAAACCAAATTTGTTATATTTGAGAATATGGGGTTGTGTGGCCTTTTACAAGGCATTGGACCCTAAGAGATCCAAGTTGGGTCCAAGAGAAATTAAAAACATATTTGTAGGATATGCAGAAAATTCAAAGGCATTTAGGTTGCTTAATTTAGACTCAAATCCAGTAGTTGAATCTAGAGATGTCAAATTTATAGAAAATAAATTTTATAACAACTACTCAATGTTTGGACAAGAGAATGATCAAACACCTTTCTCTAATCCAACTACTAGTCATTCTCAAGGTGAGAAAAGAAAATAGTCTGAAACTGTTAATGAACAAAGGAAAAGCCAAAGGGTAAGAAAAGAAAAGACTCTGGGCTTTGATTTTATTTTGTCTCAATCTATTGTATTTTTAGTCGAAGGAAATAGAAAAAAGGTTCTTAAAAAAATACCTATATTGTTGAATGTTGAGGATGGTCCTAAAAGTCTAAGCGAAGCATTGACTTCAAGAGATGCAACCTTTTGGAAAAAGGCTATAGATGATGAATATGAATGATTAATATTTAATTAGACATGGGTTTTAGTAGACTTGGCCCTAGGATCAAAAGCAATAGGTTGTAAGTGGGTGTTTAGAAGAAAATGCAATACAGACGGGTCTATTTAGACATTTAAAGCTAGGCTAGCTGCCAAGGGTTTTAAGTAGAAAAAGGGAATAGACTATTTCGATACATATGTACTAGTAGCTAGGCTCACAAAATTAGAATATTGTTTGCATTGGCATCTTTATATAATTTGCATGTGCATGCAAATGGATGTGAAAACAGCTTTTTTTTTAAATTGTGATTTAGATGAAGAAGTTTATATGGAACAACCAGAAAGGGTTTGTTCTCCCTGGGAATGAAAAGAAAGTTTGTAAATTAGTCAAGTTGTTATATGGATTGAAGCAAGCACCAAAACAATGGCATGAAAAGTTTGATATTGTCATTTATCATATTGATTTAGACATAATAGTGATGATGAATGCATATGCTTTAAATTCATAAATGATTATAGTGTTTATATGTTATCTGTCAACGACTTACTAATTTTTGGTACAAACATGAAAGGTGTATCTGAAACTAAAGAGTATCTAAATTCAAAATTCAAAATGAAGGACTTGAATGAAGTAGATACTATCTTGGGAATTAAAGTAAAGAAGCATAATAGGGGTTACGCTTTGTGTCAGTCACATTATATAGAATAAATTGCTTCTTAAGTTTAAGCATCTACAAATAAAAGAAGCAAATACCCTTCATGACCCTAGTGAAACTTTGCTTTATAATTCTGGTAGGTCTGTTGCACAGCTTGAGTATGCTAGTGTAATTAGAAGTTTAATGTATGACATGCATTGTACCAGGCCAGATATCGCATTTGCAGTAAGCAAACTCTCTAAATACACTAGTCATCTAGGTACTGTTCATTGGAAAGCAATAAATAGAATTTTTGGTTATCTTAAAAGAACTATTAACCCAAGTTTAACTTACTTTGAGTTTCCAACGATACTTGAAGGATATTCAAATGAAAGTTGGATAACAAATGCTAATGATAATAAGTCTACATCAGGGTGGATTTTTACAATTGCCGGAGGAGCAATTTCTTGGGTTTCAAAGAAGCAAACATGTATAGCACATTCAACTATGGAATTTGAATTTATAGCATTAGAGGCAGCAGGTCAAGAAGCGGAATGAGTTAGAAATTTGTTATTGGAAATAAAGTTGTAGCCATAACCAATGTCATCCGTTTCTTTATACTGTGATAGTGAGGCTACTTTGTCTAGAGCATACAATAAGGTATACAATGAAAAGTCTAGACATATTAGCTTGAGACATGAATATGTCAAGCAATTAATAACTGATGGAGTTATTAATATTATTTATGTTAAATCAAGTAATAACTTGGCGGATCCGTTAATGAAAGCACTTTCAAGAGCTTTGGTAGTTAGTACATCTAGTGGAATGGGGCTAAAACCCTTTACTAAAAATTAACCACCAATAATGGTAACCCGACTTTGTCTAGAACATCACTAGTTTAAAAGTTTAATGAGTAATAACAAGTTATTGATAAGTGGTTCTGAAAGCACTGAAAATTAATATATGGCTCATTCCAAGATGATTAGCACACGACTGTTACGTTTAGGAGGATGAGTTTTATCTTTTAATGAGGTTATTTGTAGTTATGTCTGTAGTAGCAAGGACATGGGAAGGAACCTCACCTATATGAACATAAGAAGTGGTGTCGCTTCTATCAAGAGTTGGGTTTTCTCTTGTAAATGTTCATGAAACCAGGATGAAGCACAAGGCCATAATAATGCTTAATTAGTTCAAAAATTTCTTTAAGGAAATAAGACATAGTCATGTGTATAGTGGTTCCAGTTTTAACATAAGAATAGTTGGTTTAAACTTAGGTCACCATTGCATTTGTTATAACTTTGAATTACTTACACTAATTAAAGGTTTAATTCGAAAGACACTTTTATTGTATGCATGATTATATTGGTATGCTTGTGATTAATTAAAAAGAGAGAAGTATTGTAATACCATTTATTATATATTCTTAAAATAGGGAAGGATTGTTGAATATTTCAAGAATATATATACATGATTTGGTGTTGCATTGTGCAACATGTGTGTGGTGCTGCAGCGCGCAGAAAGTTACAGTCGGCAACCTTTTGTATATCTTGTTGAATGGTTACAACTTTTAGTTAAAAGACATGATGCTTACTCAAATTGTATGAGTAGAATTAAAAGATCTAATTAGTCAATATTTATTTTCTAAACATTCTAAATAGAAGACATGTCTTTTAGGTCAATATTATTAAAAAGGGTTGTATATCTTCAACTAAAATGAAAGGACTCGATGAACGGGTCCTTTAATGCCTATAAATACCTATTGTGGCATAATGTTTCACACACAATTTCATACATTCCTTGCTCTCTTCTCTCTCCATTACATTCATACAATTTTTTTCTAGTTATTTCTAAGGGAATATAATTTGGTTTTGCTATTCGAATATTCCATACTTTGTTGTATCTTGGAAGTGATTTGCCAAGAACACTTAAAGCAAACTCATTCGAGTGGGGACAAATAATACTTTAAGGAAACGATTCAAGTCGTACCTCAAAGTCATCATTCAGATTATTCTCTCTATTTCTACATTTTAATCTAACACTTATAAGCACATGTAATATTCCTTCTTTTTTTTCATTGTGAGATTCATATTCTCAACAACCAATAAGGGTTTACAATGTTAGCAACTTTCTTCCTTGACGGTATTGTGTCTCCGTTGCTTTTAGGTGCGATGAGAGACGGGAAGAAAGAGAGAGCAGAGGAAGAGAAAGAGAGAGTGTTGACGGAAAGAACGAAGTGAAAGAAAAAAAAAATATAGAGAAGAGGATGAAGGATGGAAAGAATCGCTGGGTCCTAGAAAGGGGTTTTTTTTTTTTTTTTTTTTTTTTCTCTCTCTCTTTTTTTGGGTAAAGTTGGTTAATAATAAATTATAGAAAGGATAGAATTGGCAAATAATAAATATTATAGGGACATGATAAATTAACTTGATTAGCTAAATTAGTTTTTTTTAACACTATTTATTTTCTAAATGGTAATACTAAAGAGACTAAATTTATGAACAAAATTTTGGAAACTAAATGAAATGCAAGTTAATGATTGGTTATAACTTAAGCATTGATAAACGTGTTCATTTCTAATTGTAACACATTATTTAATTTGTAAAATTTATCTATAAATTTAATTTTCCAAGTATTATCCTAAATTAACAAAAATTTAACATTTGCTGTTAGATACTCTAATCGAGACAACTGTAGATTTGGATATATTAATTCTTGGGTGCAGGTGAATCACTGTGTTGTAGGAGAAATTTTGATTGTAATGGGAATACGAATGGTATATTACGTGTGTTTTTACGTAAGTTGTGAGAAATTTTATTTTTTAAGTTATTAACTTTTTAATACATATATCTTACCATTTGTATAGTGATATGTGGTATACCATCTCGTGTGCAAATCACACTGAAAAATCTCTCGTGTTGTAGGTTTAAAGCTGTTATTCTAATGATTGTCTTTGAGTTGAGCGATGTGCCTGGTTTCTGATCCTTAATAATTATAAAACTAATTAATCTCTTGTGATTAGATAAAATACAAACTGATCATATCTCTTGATTATATATTTCAATTAAATACTATTTGCGTTGCAGGACTTGTCTGGGGAGGCATCTCTTTCACAACATTGGCTAAGGGCACTGGGATTTGTTGGGCACGCCTCAAAACCTAAGCGCAACAGCAGCACTTCGGTTTCTGCGTGTGAAAGAGAGATTCTTAAATTCTTCAAATTATTTCTTTTTAAAATTTTCCAAATGTACTTGCAGCTGTAGTATATACTGATGGGGAATGTGAAGGCAAGTTCATATTCTACCAAACAGAAGCTTAGCCTTGCTGCCGTAGATAATTTGTGTGTTCGAAGAGCTTTTTCCTTTTCTTTGAAACAGTGCTTCTCTTTCTGTTGGCTTTTGCTTTTTCTTCAAAAGAACACAAGTTGTAGTTAATCTCCGCAGCTCTTGAGTACCTCTTTCTGCAGCCTGCAGGTCAGAAACTCAAACTTGATCACTCTCAGTCATATAGATTTGTTCATTGTCTTTATGTTTTACTGTTACTGCAAAATCATGCATGCAATTGGGTTTTTGATATTGTTTGGAGTGCTGAGGATTGTGCTTTGGTTAAAATAGTGTCATCCTCCGTGTAATTTAGATTAATTTAGATTATTTTGGAGGCTGGTTTTCATATGTTGCATGAATTTTAAGAGTAATTCAGTTTGCAGTTCATAACTTCATTAGTTCTTTAAATTTATAATTTGAATTATCTCACAAGTTGATGATGTAATCACTTGAAAGATATTTTTTGTATCTATTTTCCTTAAGGAGAAAGTGAGTATATTTCACTGCATAAGGAAGAGCATTTTATTTTTTACTCAAACTGACAATTAAATTTAACAAATAAGACAAACCGATACAACAATTGAGAAATTGATCTTTATTCAAGAGAGGTGACCTTCGGACTCTCTTTTTCTTCTTCAACACTCATTCATTTTTTCTCTAGCGATATGATTGAATAAATAAAAAAAGAATTAATAGACAAAAATAAGAAAAAAAAGACCTTAGAAAGAGAAAACAAGAATGTAAAAATTACAACACTTTTTTTGAAAACTATAAAGAATGTCACACTAGAATTTTCTTTTCCTCAAATGTAAAAGAAAACAGAAGCTATTTCTATTTTAATTACCAGCAATTACTATTTGCAACTGTATATTGTTGTGATGTCGTCATCTGGGATTTTGGGAAGTAGGTAACTTGAACAGAAAAATAATGTTTAATTACCACTTAAATGAAATGGGCAAAAAACAAGACAAAACTCAACAGTAGGTAGCTGAGAAAAATCAGAAGCAGCATAAAATAATTTACAAAGAATTAATTAGGCGTACATGATAGGGTAGTAGTAGTTCTGTGCTGCTGATATAAGTGAGGCCTTTTGAAGCTGGAAGATATTTTTGTTGTGGTCCAAAATTGGCTGAAGCAAGAAGTGGAAAAAGAAGCAGACAAATTACACAAAAAGCAGTTTGCTGATATAATCAATTTGTATTGGCGTTTGGAACTCATCATAGCAAGTGCTCTCTTTGTTTCTATGCATAATACAAACCATCATATTTCTAGGACATTATTCCTTCCTTCCTATCTAAATACATTTTCTGCTTTTTTTTCTTCATTTGGCAGATATTCATATTTCAGCACAAAAGTGTCAGACTTTCAAAATTCAGGATATATTCTTGCAGAAGGTTGCCAAATAAAGCTTCTACGTATGGAGAAGCTTCTCAAGCCATATGATAAGGAGTACATGAGGATGGCCATTTTAAAGCACGAAGAAACTTTCAAAGAGCAGGTAAGAATTCCACAGTAGTGATTTTCCAGTTCCGCTTTCTCCTTTTGTACTCCTCCCCTTTGGTCCCTTCATTCTCCTTTGATTTGTTCAGTCTAAAGGCCGATCGACTTCCATAATTCTATTCTAGCCTATTCACTTCTTTCTTTTATTAGCTTGTTTCTAAACTTGAGTTAGTGCTGCAGGTATATGAACTTCATAGGCTATATCATTTGCAGAAGATATTGATGAAAAGCTCCATTGGAAAAAGAAGGCCCAATGGACAGAAACAAGAGAGTTGGGATTTAAATTATCATCACAACCAAGAGGCACAATTTAACCCACAAAGGAAACTAGATTTAGAACAGCCTGCAGCAGCAGCAGCAGCAGGAGAGTACGTTGCAGACACAGAAGGGGATGATGGGGTGCTAGAGATCATAGATGAGAGTGAGATTGAGTTGACTCTAGGCCCCACCAGATACAACAACAACAGCAACAACAGCAACAAAAGCAGCAGCAGCAACAGAAGGAAGAGAGGAGGAGAGGCAGCGGCACTAACACTATCAGATTCAGCAGGTCCAAGTAGTTTCTCATCTTCTTGTTCTACTGGATCAAGCCATACAATAAACAGGAGAAGTAGTTTCTCCAGGAGGACCAATCAAAGTACTATACATGAGCAGTTGCTGCCTGCTGACATGGCATCAGGAGGGTACAGAAGAAGTGGAGGGGATAAAATCAGCAGCAGCAATGTTAATGGTGGAGAAGAACAGTTGAGACAGGATGAGAGGCTAAAACTGCCTCCTTGGCTTTTCCAAGTTTTGAGTTTGAACATGACTTGATTTGATATGGATATGATATGATTTTTAGACCTCTTCTTCTTACTTATTGACTAATATGTGATTGATGATGTTTGGGTGGGATTCTAATTAGCTGGTTAATTTTGTAGTGTGATGGGTGGAGTTTGTATAAAGATCATCATTTGCCTCCTTTGCTTTATTTCCTTGTTCACTTTTATAAAGAAATGTAATGAATATGATGAAATGGAGATGTGTAGCCACCAAGGTATTCTACCGTGTAAAAGGGCGTTACGAGACAGATAAAGAAAGAGAGATATACTACTGATTCTACTACACTCAAGACTTTGCTCTAATCGCTTTGACCAAGAGAGAGTTTCTTGTCACTAATTTTCTGCATAGCAAGCATCTATTGAATGAGCATGCATGTTTTGAACACGTGATAAACATGTAGCTTACAGTTTGCTGACAAAAGTAGATTGTCTTGTCAAACCTTATCAATGTTTCCATGTGTAACCAAACATCCTGTAGAGTCTAGACGCAAGCTCAAATGTTTTCTAGTAACATTGTCGAAAGGGGAGTAACGGAACGTTTAGATACCTGAAATAAGTATTGGAATTATTCCGATTACTGATTTTCTCTAAGTTTATTAACATACGGAGTAACTGGTGATGGAAGGATTCTGAGGGGGGATGTACTTAAGCATACAGTTAACTGTTATCCATGATCAGGATAAGAAGCGACCAAATGTAGATTTTTTTTTTCTCTCCTGGTGACTTTTCACCTGGCCGGTTGCATTGCACCTGATCAGCATCACAATTTGTAAAGATAATGGTTATAATTGTGGGAGAAAGTGGAAATCTGAGGAGTCTAAAGTTCTATGCTACTGAGGTGATATTTAACAAACGATATTATCTACACTAAGAGTTATTGAGGGGGGCTAAACCTTACAATAGACTAGCTAATTCTCAATGACTCATATATTCCCGATATTATCTTATCATCAATTCACAAAAACTCAAAGTAAACAATAACGTCAAACTTTTGGGCTTGGTTAAGTTCATGAGTCCTTTTTATGGAGTCACATATAATAGAAAGCATCTCTTCACTTGGGGTTCCATGATAAATTTACCTCCGACATTATCAACATGCTGCACTGCTAGTCTGTCTGTCTAGCTATTCTTTAACTTTTTCAAAGGCTCTTTATCACGAAGGGTTTTAATAATTTGAGGACGGACCCCACAGACAGCAATGGTCTGGTACAGAAGGTCTAGTTTTTGGTTTGAGGACAGGGTCCTGGTTGGACCATTACTCATTGCTTAGGACTTGAACCAACCTGCATTACAAAGAGAAGAAACTGTTTGAAATATTTGAAACAGAAGGATGCATGTGGCTGTGGACTAAACTTTTTGGAGGTTAAGATATACTGTATGTTTACTTATTACGAACGAGTCAATCATAAACTGGGATGAGCAAGATTCTTGGTTTTTCATGTATTGGATTACAGATTGCATTGAATGCCTTATAAACCAAGGGAGTGATTCTCACACTTTTTTACTCATGATTCTCACACTTTTTTACTCATTTTGCACGCCCTATTGATTTTTGACCTTTAGATTGAACAAATCAAATAATAATTAAAGGATAAAAATAAACAAGAGTGAGCAGAAAAAGAAAAAAAATGTGTGAAAATCCCGAGTTCGTTACAAATTAGAGGATGTAAACAAATAAGATGTCCTTCTATACTAAAATTAGTTGGAACGATGTACGCTTAATCTTTTGCCTAGTTGACGCCCTCTTTAGTAATACGGTATGTAAGCTTAGAACAAGTTTTGCCAACACACCATTGCCATTTAATACTGATTCCAGATAAGTAAACACGTTATAAGAATCTACGCCTTTTCTATTTCTTTCTTTAATCTCTTTCTTGATGACGAAATGCACGAAACTAGTTGGAGATTACATGGATATAGCAATCAAATTTTACCACAAACATTCATACATACACACATATTGTCAATACTTCAAAGCAAGCGCATTAATACCAGTTTTTCCTAGAAAGTAAAACTGAAAAAGATTATACTCTGCCTCTCCAGTTTTATACTCAATGCGCCTTTGAATCATGTAATCTTATTCAAAGCAGTATGACATCACACAAAGCACAAGAAAGATACAACAATTAGAGATTCAAGCCACAAATTTTCTCAAGCCTCAGAAACAAAGCAAAGGCAAACAAAGCAAAGGCATTGGAATTTATGTTTCTCACAGAGCATTATAGAGCTCAGTAACACACCGATGCTTCAGGAAATCGAATGCCGCCGATCTTTCGCAGATTTGGTCCGGCCTTTGGTACCAGTGGGTGTCACTCCATCTGCACGCACAAAGGGAGAAATCTTCCCAAGCCTTTTCGACACCAAGTTCATAAATGATTTTCGAGGCAGAGGAGGTTTGTCAGCAGATATTGGAGTGTTTCCCATTGGACTGCTCATTGCTGTTCTCGCAGTAGACGTTTCGAGTTCTTTCAGTTTCATCCTCATCTTCCCCAACTCTATTTTTAGCTCCTCATTTTGTCTACGCAAGATGGTGAGCTCATCAGGAACCATGTGGACATCAGTGGAGTATACGCTCCCTTTGGAAGGAAGAACAGAGGATTCACCACCTATGTTGCCATTCATTACATCTCGAAGGCGCTGCTGCTCATAGTATAGCACTTGGACCACAGTGTGAACAGGAAGGCGGTCATTCTGTGCAGCGTGAGCGGAGGCCTCTCGTGAAAGCTTCTGGCAGTCCATCATACTGCACACTTTCTTTCTCTCCATATCACTTAGAGCAGGATGAGCCTGTGAAATATTTAAAGTTAAGTGGTGAACTAAAGAAATTTAATTAAGAAAATGACATATAAATTCAGCTGAGAGGTTTTGATCCCATGACAAATTTCGTGTGTGGCTTAAAACAGAAGGGTAGAGATTTTCACATGCGTTTTCTCATTCTTCACTCCTTTCACTTGTTTCTCTCCTTTCATTCTGCTTTGATTTATACAATTTAAAGGCTAGAAAAAATAGGGAGAGGTGCAGGCGGAGAAAAGGGAGCTACCAAAGTTACTACCCTGCATAAAAAGCCTATATAACCGTTGCAAATACATACGATTCAATGTTAAGAAAGTTATACACAAGAACGTGCACCTTTAGGTAGATATCAATGGCTCTATACATGCCATCTTCTGTTGCCCTTGATTGTTCTGGAATAAGTTCAGCAATGCCAATGAACTTAGAGACAGATATGTTGCGGTCAATGGCTATTTCAGCCAGGTAGTTCTCCATTAGCTTTCCAACGCGTTCCATGTCAGTTAGTTCAGGAGAAACAAAATCATCCTCTGAATTATATCCCAAACGGCTCCCCTCCGTTTCATATTCAAGGTAATTCGTCATGATCCTTCGCACAGTCTCCACATCGAGCAAAGTGTCCCCAGTAAAGGAATATGATGGAATCAAGAGATCATCTAAAACAGCCTGTGCCAACTGCAACCCCATTCTTTTCTCCAAATCTAGCTGGCAAGCAACCGTTGTTTCAAGGGTTTTCGCAGCACGAAGAAGCATGGAAAGAAAGCTGACTGACATTGCATTTTTCTCCCTTGGCAGAAGACTCACAATTGTTTCTAAGACAACCCTCTTCTCGTGTCGCAGCTCGATTTTCGTCCTCCCCTTTCCAAATATTTCCTATGCCAAAAGAGGATTTATATGTCAAGACATGAGCTATAAAACTGAAAAATATGACATTGTGGAGTGAGATCTCACCAAACCTCGTAGCGATTTTTGTGCATATAGCATGAGTACTGGTCCAAGAGCATACTGCTTAAACCCTCTTGCCAACATTGCAATCATAACGCGTTGGAAGATATCAATTCTAAGAACAGTTAAGTCTTCAGCCCACCAATCCACAACAGGCTTTGGATGAGACACAGCTGAAAAAACTGCACCCTCATTGCCACCATCAGTCCGACCGGACACACTGAACTGGCCCTCTTTGTAGGCCATAAAAGCAATTGCATCTATGCACCGGCTCACTAATTTTACCTTCTCCGCCATTGGGAGGAAATTTTCTGACATGTGCAAAACAGTAACTGCACCTGCTAGGCTTTTCAATGCCACTTCATTCAAGTATGCATCAGCTCTTTCCACAAGGTTTCCAACCGCGTAGTCCTCAGTCATCAGAAGATACTCAGCCACGCATCGCAGCATTGCGATGTTTCCTGTGCTTAACTCGAAATTTATTCCATAACAGAATTTTGCTGCAAACTCAAACGCTTCTGATCCACCCGGAACATCAAAGAGCTCAATGACAGATAGATCAGCAGCATAACTAGATTCTGATATCAGTTTCCTTATGTGTCCACACTTGGAAATTAAAGGGAACTGCAATTTTAATAAGTATTGTTTCAATCCAATAATTTGTTAGCCTCTCCATGTTTGTTTAGTTCAGCCGTATATTAAAAAACCAAAACTTAGTCACAATAATTTTAATATGAACCAAATAATTGTTGTTAGTGCTATTGGTCGCATAATTTGATATGTGAATCAACACCAATGTATTAAAAGCGTGAGGCGTGGGCGAGACGTCCGAGGGATAACCCGGCCCAAGCATCAGGCGAAGCTTCACGGGACCTAAATTTTTTAATATATACAGTGAGCGTACACATATATTATATTAAAAGGAAAACTAATGAAAAGAGCTTGAAAACTTTGAATTTTAATGATAAGAACAAAATAAAGGGTAAAGTGAATAGCACCAGGATTGACTTTAGTGTAAAAATGTGGTTTTTCGTTAAAGTGAACAGTACCATGGGTTTTTCGTTAAAACTCCCATTATTAAATTAAAAAAAGAAGAAGATTATTAATCAATAATCACCCTAAGCATACACATATATTATAAATATATACAGACATATATATACATATATTATATATATATATATATATAATAGAGGATGAAAAACATAATGAGCACACATGTAACAATGCACGCAGACAACACACACATCCATTATATAAAAAAATAAAAATCAGAAAAAAAAAGGCACAGTGACAATAGTGCAAGGAAGAGGTATGAGGCAATTAAAACCCTACCCAAAATTTGGGTTTGGGAGTTTGAAAAAAAAAAAAAATAAATAAATAAATAAACACCCTGAGGCGCACCTAGGCGGCTCTGGCAAAGCCTTCCACCCACTCCTTCAAAACAAAGGCGGCAACCCTCATGCCTAGTCTCAAAGGACGC